TTTAACTGATCCATCAGGGAGCTGTCTGATAGTCTCCAAATCAGTTGTTGTTGACTCGGTACTAGATTCTTTATCAAAATTTTCATTCTACATGGTCCATGACTCTGGTAGGGTCACATCTTTCCAAAGTAGCTGCTTTGGGATTTGGATATGTTGGTCTGTGCAGAACTGGCTTGTATTAACATAGTACTTCCTTTAGGACTTGGGTCAAGACATTGTACATTTAGATTGGTACGAATACACTTGTAATAAATCCTGTAAATAAGTACTATGGAACTAGTGTTTTTTACTAACCTGGTAATATCGCCTGTAAGACGGATACCAAGAGTTAGTGCCATGTGGGTGTTAGGACAATGGAGATCAAGGGTGAAGTCAGGGAAGCAGTTAAAGTAGACTGGACCTCGGTGGAGTCCTGTCTCCATGATTCCCAAGACACTGGGTTCCCAATCCAGAAACCTTGCATCTCGTAGTGCTAGTAAGGCAGCAGCATTCCTGCCTTGAGTAATAAGTGGTTTAATGGCCACTTGGACAAGACCTATGTGGATAAAATTATATCCTTTAGTCTTGTGTTTTTTGAGAGTCTCCTTAGTGAGGAGCTCACAAAGCTCATCTTCTTTCCTGAGAGGATGAACCTGTTCAACAGTTTTAACTTGGTGTTCTTCACTAAAGGTTTTCTGAACCCAAGTTGTGCTATAAATATTTTTTTCTTTAACTGGAGGAATATTCCATTTCTTCCAATCTGTTTTAATTTCTTCTATCTCTAATTCTTCCTCATTTACTCTATGTGGTATAGAATAATTTGAAGATCTAGATGTACTAGCTCTAGAATTAGATCTGAATAATCTACTCATTTAAAAATCTAAATTGTTATCAAATTTTAAATTTATATGTAAGTTTGACGACACTATACATACCCTCTAATCTGGCTCCAATTTCTCTCAACTTCTCGCCAACGATCCCTATCTGCCAATTCTAGGACTTACACTTGGGACACAAGGTGGCTTACGTACTCTTGAGGGTCTGGATTAAGGTTGGGTGATAGGGTGCGAATCTACTTACAAATGAATTTAAAAGAAGAAACAGATAAAGATTTCAAAGTGAGTTAGATGACTCAAATGAAATTTCAAAGATAATACACCAGGCCGTCAAATGGCTCTGATACCAAATAAAAGACAAGTGCGGAATTCATGGAAGATAGAGGAATATGAAACAGATATATATATATATATATATATATATATATATATATATATATATATATATACACCCAAGTTAAAGTCCTAACTTTCTCTCCTCTATCAGCCGCCCGCCTCCATAGCTCTGTCTCTCTCTCTCCATCTCTCTCCCATCCCTCTGTCGTCTCTCTCTCATTGCAGGTTTCCATCGGCTCTAGGTGTCGGCTGATCAGAACAGGTAATTTGTCCTAATCCATTCGAGGTTTTTGGCCTTTGCCCTTTACTGTTAACGGGGGTGTGCTCTCTACCGTTAACTGGGAGTTTTTTAAAATGGTGACGGAGGAAGACTATACGATTGCGCTCGTTTTGATCCACTGATATCCCTGATCATAATAGTTTAAGTTGGACGAACCAACCCAAATTTAACACCAAAAAATAGTGGTAGGGTTAAAGTTTTTAGAGTTAGGGTATAAAAGTTTCAATATGAATTGAATGCGAGTAATGGTTGAGTTAAAAATTCAGGATTATGGATTTAACTCAAACTTAACCTTAATTGATGAAATCAAACTTAACTTGAACTAATTTCAACTTCAACTTGAATTCATGTATTATATTTATATAACTAATATAAAAATAAAATATAAATAAATATTTTATAATTATTATTATTTAAAAAGAGAGGAAAACATAATTTATTAGTGAAATAAATTTAAACAACCGATGTGAGATAAGTTAAAAAAATAAGTAATTGTCATCTCACGTCAGATAATCAACTCAATTGACCTCTTCTCTCTCCTATAAAGAGAAAGCTCATCCTTACATTATTAATAAGTTATTTTGAGTTTTTTATTTTTATTTTAGTGGGTCATGTAAACTTATGTAATAGTTTAATATTGTGCAAATTTTTACACAAAATTTAAGGTTATTATTTGTTGAGCTCAAAATTTTAACTTGAATTGGGTAATCCAATTTCAACTCGAGTTTGTCCGAAAATTAACTTGAACAATACTCGAGTAAAGTATCTCAAGTTGAGTTAGGATTGAAAATTTTATATTTAGTATTGAACTAGGATTGATTGATCCCTTAATCGACCCAACCCATCCAAGTTGCATCCCTCAACTAGCCCAACACACTCTGCAATACAAAAGCTTCTACAATTCAAAAGATAGAGTATTGAAAACGCAATACTTATATTTTAAAAAAAATAATTTTTTTAATTACATAACTGAAAGAGAAAATAAGAGGTAAGTATGGGAGAATTAATGGCGTTGTTTGACATGAGATTGTGTTGGTGAGTTATTTGACATCGGGAGACACGAAGTGAAAATTATTTTGAGACGAATTTTGATATTGTTAGATCAAAATAGATTAAAAGTAGATTAATTTTAATCATTGTTGTGTTTTTATAAATTAAAATTTTAATTTATTAAATATTAACTATTATATTAAATGAATATCATAAAATAAAAAGAATAAAGCATTCCCTTCGTATAATTATAAAATGAGTAATGTTATTTGAACTTAAAAATTTGATCTAATTTGTGACATAATGACATGTCTTTATAAGAATTATTAGATTAACATCAAGTTTTAAGGTTTAATGGGGTCTACAGTCAATCCAAAGATCACGATGAATTAATTCAATAAATTATGTCAATAAATTAAATTCCAATAACATTGCTCTTATAAAATAAAGGGATATGCTGTATTTTTCTATAAGAAAAAGAAAAAAGTTAAAACATCAACAACAAATTATGCAAATTCATTGATCTTATTTTCTTGGACTTGGATCATATTAGATTCAAAGCATTTATTGTCATAAATCCTATAGAAAATTATCAAACAAGATAGCCACCTTAATTAGTTAGGGCGTCGACTTAGAACACAACATGTTAACAAACCCAATTTGGCACCTCGTGATTTAAAATGAAATGATAAATAAATGAGAGTAATAAATAGGGTAAAAACAAAATATTTTCATGAACTAAGCCTTGGTTTCACTTTTTTTTTTTTTTTAAATTTATTTTGGGGAAGAGAAAGGAGAAGGGAGACTTGAACCCTAAAAAGAAAACAAAGTCTTTACAAGTTAAAGAATATCATTGGACCAAAGACTCATTAATTATTGGTTTCACTTCACCTCCTATTCTTTTTAGGGTTGTATTTAACCATCTCCAACTTATAAACAAATTGTAAATATAACATAATTCGTTTATTCTAAGGGCACGCGGTAATTGTACACGTGTTATAAAATAAATAATTTTTTTTCTTAAATTAAAAAATTTAATTATCAATTTTACTTTTCATTTTTCTGTCTCTCACCTCCCCCTCTCTCCGGACCTACAAATTTATTTGTATAAATTACATTCGGACCCTCTAAGATTTGTCACTTGAACAAATAGACCTCTCATGTTTGAAAAATTACACGAAAAGCCCTTAAAGTATGTGTGCGTGTAATATAAAGTAACCTTGTTGTTAAGATCCATTAGACATATCATTAAAATTTGATGACATCAGTATCTCTTTTATATAAAATTCCCGAATTTCCCTACCACTATTTCAACAAAAATCCAATAAAAATTAATAATTTTTAATTTTCAATTAAAACCCAAAATACCCAAACCCACAGCCACCACCAGCTTTCCTCTCTCCTTTTACAACAGCACCGTCAGCGCCAGAACCACCACCAGAGCCAAAGCCCAGAACCACCATTACAACACCGCCACATCAGAGCCACAACCCAAAACCACCACCACAACACCGCCACACTAGAGCCACAACCATCACCAACTTTCCTCTCTCCTTCTACCATAGTACCACCTGCGCCAGAACCACCACTACAACACTGCCACACCAGAGCCACAACCACCGTCAACACCATTACCATCACCCATCACAAATATGCATTTCCTCTCTTCTCTCTACTACACCCAAACACAGATCCAAAAATCCCCCAAAATAGAAATCTCCTTATGTATGAGAATTCACCAACCCAGCCACCACCTTCTCATATTCAAGGGCATTTCGATTTTGGGGGATTTTTGGATCTGGGTTTGGGTGTAGTAGAGAGAAGAGAGGAAATATATATTTGTGATGGGTGATGGTTTACCCATCCACCACCCTCTTCCTCTCGTCGCCACTGTTTACCCAGCCAATACCACCCTCCTCTCATCGCCACCGTTTACCTAGCCAGCAAGGGGCGGTTAGCAATAGAACACACACAGAGAGAAAGAGAGAATGGTCGGTAGTGGGCAATGGAGAGAGATAAAGAGGAGAGGTTCTAAGGTGGTGGGCAGTTAGCGATAGAACAAAGAGAGAGAGACAGAGAGGTGAGAGGTGGAGGGGTAGATGCAAGGGCAAAATAAGGGTCGGGTCTGGGTTTTGGGTTGGGTTTGGTCTAGGCTAGTTTTATTTATTTTGAATAAGGGCAAAATAATCTTTTTAAAACTTCTGTCAGTTGTGTTAGTTGATTATGACTGACTGGGGAAGTCTTTGTAATATGTCATACCTGAGGGGTCTATGTGTTTTATAATTGAAGTTCGAATTATTATTAAACCATAGAACTAATATTCTCGCTATGGAAGTTAATCCTCGTAAACACGATCACCCTAAATTTACGTCAATTGCTGATGCATAGCTTGGGTTACCTCTGTTGAATAGTATATGCCTGAACAAACATTCATTGTTCATCTATCCTCTTTCCCTCCGAGATATGAACTCACGAAACAGCCAAAATAATTTGTCTTCTTATGATCTGTCTTTGCTTTGTTCTCTGCTACTACAAGTCTCTCTCTCTCTCTCTCTCTCTCTCAACTGCACAGTACTACGATGGCCAAATCTTGCTCGCATTGGTGGCATGCCCCATTCTACTTCGCCATGTCTGTAACACTCGCAGTAATAGCAATCACCACACCCATTCATTCATCTCTCAAGAACTCAATCCCACCAAACAACTCCATCAAGCACTCTCTCTCCATAAATGCTACTCAAGCTCTCCGGACACATGGCTTCAATGTCTTCGCCACCCTCCTCCAATTCTCTCCCGAACTCTTCCTCTCCTCTTCCGAATCAACCATCTTCGGCATCCAAGACTCTGCCATCTCCAATCTCTCTCTTCCTCCTTGGGCCATGAAACAACTCCTCCAATACCACACCTCTCCTTCCAAGCTCCCAATTCAAGAACTGTTCAAGAAACCCCTAGGGACTTGCTTACCAACCCTTCTTCAGCACAAGAACACAGCAATCACGACAACAAATGTGAACCAACGATCAATTGAGATCAATAATGTGCTGATTTCTCATCCGGATGTGTTTCTTGAAGGACCCATTTCGATTCATGGTGTTCTTGGGCCTTTTTTTTCACTAGACCTTCCTGGCATTGTTCAAGATTGGGACATTATTGAGTCACCCATTTGTGACACGAATAACAGGGTAGTTTCAAACATGAGTGAACCCAAGAACCGAATTGAATGGCCTCGGATTGTGCAAGTGCTCAGCTCTAATGGGTTCGTTTCGTTTGCGATCGGATTGCATTCTGTTCTTGATGGGATTCTCAAAGATCACGCAAATTTGAGTTCTGTCACCATCTTTGCTCCCCCAAACTTGATGTTTGTGGCATCTCCTTCACCATTTCTGGATAGAATTGCGAGGTTTCATATTGTGCCACTCAAGTTCTCTTACATAGAATTGGCTTCATTGCCAGAGAAATCATCTCTGAAGACATTGATTCCTGACAAAGATCTTTGGATTACTAGTAGAGTTAAGTTTTCACAAAATTTGGCTATTCATGGGGTGGAAATTACTGCACCAGAGATTTCTTCATCTGAGAAGTTTATTATCCATGGAATTTCTCGAGCTTTCAATGTAGAGGAGCTTCCCAGTGCATTAAAGTAGATCTTTGAAGTGTAAATCAGCTGTTTTTCTTTGTAGGCATTCATTTTTCTTGGGGTGATTCTGAAATTGGCTGTGATTCTCATTCCAATACGTGAATAGATTTGAGATTTTGAAGATTCAGTTTCAGTAATTGATTTTATTGTAAAACTGTCCCCATCTAGTTTTGTATTGAATACATATATGGTAATGAAAGTTTTGTTTCCCTAAATTTTTTTTAAGTTCAACAGGGTTGTTCGGATTAGTTTATACGTATCTCGACTAATTCTATTCGGATCCAATTAAAGACAGACTATCCACTTCACGACTAAGGATTTCATAAGGAATAAATTCCTTGTCGTCCGATCCCAAAAAATTATAAAAATTTAAATTCAAAACTTCTGAATTTTTCGTCATTGTTACCGCTCGAGCTACCCTTCCTCTTAATAAGACACTACTCTGATTCATCTTACTAATGGGGAAGGTAGAGATACCACCAGCCACAATCTTATACAGTACCCTTTCTGGAGCCTGGTACAAACTAGTGAATAAAATGAAGCAACATTTCTGATAAAAGAAGTGGAATAACTTGAGACAATTATCAAGAAGAAATTTTGTGAATTTTTCTCGTCTGTAGTTCAGTTTACAAGGACCGGGTAAGTCTATGGTGCCCACATTTTACTTTGGGTAAATTATATCGACACACCTAAACTGTGCGCGTGCGCGTGCCCGTGTGGGTGTGTATGCGTGAGTTTGCTATGCAAGTCAAGGGCGGAGCTACCGTATGGCCCAAGGGGGCCATAGCCCCTCTCCACTTTTGCTAACACTAGCACGTATAATATTAAACACAAAAATCTGAACATTGTCGAGAGAATTGGCCTCATCTAGAAGAGAACGTAATTATCTTCAACTTTAAACATAAAATGTTGAGTAATAATATTGAGATCTTAAAATTTGACGTAATTTATTAATTTAATGATGTAATTTTATTATAACTGTTGAATTTAACACTAAATTTTAATATTTAATGACACCCATGATCAATCCAAATACTATAGTAAATTAGGTTATTTAATCATATCAAGTCGAACGTTATCCAAAGAAGATTTTGCAATACGATTGTCAATGATTTCGCTTAGACTCTTTAATTAGGGAGGTAGAAAAAATTGTTAAAAAGTGTGTTACGGATTAAATGTACAACTAAGTTGATACATACTCAAAATTATTTTTTGTTCATCTTTAATTTTTTCCCATATCTTTAATTTTTTTTTATCACATATTACTTTGTTGGATATATATTTGTGCATCAAGAGTCTGAATTAATAAATAATATATTTAGTTTACATTATCAGTTACATTAAATTTGGCCCCCCCTAAAAAGAATTTTTTTGCTCCGCCCTGTATTTAAGTGTGTGGGTGGAGATTGAGAGAGATAGAAAGAGAGATAATCTGTCCAACTAGGTTTTATTATTTTTTTATTTTTTAAAATTATTTTAAAAAATATATAACTAAACATATTTTACAATATAAAAATATCAAAATACATTTCCTAAAAACTCTTTTCAAAAATTATTTTTAAATACTATTTTTTAAAATACAATTCAAACATGCACTTAATCTCAATGTCCAGCTGACTATCAACACTTACTCGGTATAAGACAAGGTTCTCTTGTTACACTATGGATTCCACTTGAAATATCTTCCATCAGTGGTTGAGAGACTAATTCCATTCATTATCAACGTCATAGAGATATAAAGGGAGAGTGGGACAAATGATCTGTACCTTACATCTCCTCATTTTGTCATGATCTATGATTATGGGCAAAATGATAAACAATGGGGAGCAAAATGTAATATATGAGGCAAAGAGGAGGGTGATGCAAATAGATAAAACTTATCAGCAGCGAAATTTGAAGCGAAATCTTTTCTGATGCAGAAATTTTGTTTTTGTTTTTGTTTTTTTTTATTTTGGGTTGATTACAAAATGACCCTTAGACTTTATATCTTGTTTCAATCAGGTTCCTTTGGTTTAAAATTAAACAATTTTTCCCTTTAATATTCCAACATTAGCAAGTTGATTGATGAGTTAGACAAAAATTTTAAAATTACTTTTGTACCCTTAGTATTTTAAAATCCAAATCTATTTTCTTTTTTTCTCTTTGCCCAATTGAGCAAAAAGCTCTAACGCCACCCAGCTAAAAACCAACCATCCCAGCCACCACCCAACCACCCTAGCTAAAAACCACCCAACGACAACCATCGTAGGCTCAGCCACCACCCAACCACTGTAGCCACAATCAACCAGCCTAAAAACAATTGTAGCCACCACCCAGCCACCGTAGCCACAATTAACTGCCTACAAAACCACCATAGTCACCACTCAACCACAAATCACTGTAACCGCCACTCAACAATCCAACCACCCAGCCAAAAACCACCGAAGAAATTGTCGGTAAGGATTTGAGTTTCTATTTCAGTGGAGGGGAAAGATTTGAGTTTCGATTTTAGTGGAGGATGGGGGATTAGAGAGTTGATGGAAGATTGGGGGTGGGTTTCGGTTTTAGTGGAGGGGGAGGGATTTGGGTTTCATTGGAGAAATCGTCGGAGGGAGTCTGATTTTTCATCGAAAAAATCATCGGCAGTTGATTTTATTTTATTTTTTGATTTTTTTACACAAAATATTAAGATAAGAGTAGTTGTGGGCTTTGATTAATTTAAGTCATTTTTAATGGTGGTCAACTAATGGTAAAAGTTAATTGAAAATTATTTAAACATTAAGGGTACAAATTGTTCAATTTTAAACTAGAGAGCTGTGATTGATAATAAGACCCAAAGTTTAAGGGGGTATTTTGTAATTAGCTCTTTTTTTTTTTTTTGGGATTTGGATTTGATTTCTCATCGGATCGAGTCGCAATGTTTGGGTTTGGCACAAAGGGTCGGATCGGGCCAAGAAGATTGGGTTTAATCCAAACTCAAGTAGATTCTTTTCCAAGCCCATAGTCTTCTTCCCAGACGGCGGTGGAAACCAGAGGTTTGTCGACGGCGTAATGGCTGAAATCCAATGGTGTACAGAGGTTCTTCTGACGATCAAATCCGAAAGACGTGAATCTCAAGAACAACACTTCGAAGTGTTATCTAGGTCTAAATTAAGATAACGTTCAATTTTTTTTGAATCCACGAGGAAATGGATCAGATGATGGATGAATCACAGTTTGCAAATATACCAATCCGGATAGAAATTCGGAATCAGAATACCTCTCTGAACCCTTGCTAAAGAATATTCATCTATAAGCATCCCAGTGCCACAGTAACGAGACTGTAAGTGTTGGTACTGGTTATACACCCTCCCAACCCTCTTTAAGACTGTTAATGGGGGCGTCAGGATTGTACCCTGATTGTTTTTAGTGATTAGCTAAATACCCCTAGGGATAAACTAATTTATCTTTTCTGAGTTTGACACAAATTGATCAAAAAACGTGGAGCAATAAGATATTTTTGTGTCAGTGTTTTTGTTCCATTGGTGATTTTTCAAAGCCAAAAAGTAGGTTTCAAGATGAATCGGGGGCCTTGGTGGGAGACCAAAAACATTTGCCTTTAGCGAGTGGGCCGCAAGAGCATCTCATAGCTTGCTTTGGCAGACCTTATTCCATTCAACTAATGGCACCAAATAAGTTGCAGGACTCGCATTAGTGTCTGTTCATTCATCCAATGGCTATAATTTCTTAAATATTGAGCTTAAGTCAACCCAAAACACATATCCGGTGATCAGACGGTCGAAGAATAAAAAAAAGTCTTCCCCCTTAATAAACTAGTGAGAGGAAGTAGTGTGCACTGTAGAGAATTTATCCGCGCGTTTGAGATGTCCTCCCCCCACAGAAGGATTTCAGCTGACTTGCGCGCGTTCGGCAGTAGCCTTTACCTCTCTTCGCCAATAGGACCCTTTCCTAAGGCAATCCCACATCGGAAGAGAGTCGTCTTCATCCGCGCGTTCGGGATGTCCTCCCCCCACAGAAGGATTTCAGCTGACCTGCGCGCGTTCGGCAGTAGCCTTTACCTGTCTTCGCCAATAGGACCCTTTCCTAAGGCAATCCCACATCGGAAGAGAGTCGTCTTCCCCCTGCCATATAAGTGAACACTTCCTATGGAAGAGGTACCCACTAGCGACCTGATCAGGTGCCTAGTGGTACCTCCTCCATAGGAAGTGTTCACTTATATGACACTCTCTTCCGATGTGGGATTAGGCCTATTGGCGAAGAAAGGTAAAGGCTACTGCCGAATGCGCGCAGGTCAGCTGAAATCCTTCTGTGGGGGGGGGGGGGGAGGACATCCCGAACGCGCGGATAAATCCCCTACATGCACACTTAATAAAACTACCCCTACATGCACATTTAATAAAATTAGTGCGAACGCGCGGATAAATTCCCTACATGCACACTTAATAAAACTAGTGCGCCTTTACATAAAGTGAAGAATAAAAAGGATTCTACCCTTCACTTACTCATAAAGTAAAGGAGAAAAGGAGTCTACCCTGCTTTCTTTGAATCCTTTTCATATCGATCTCCAATAATCTAATGGGCATGTGAGCCAATTTGAAGCATGCATTCACTACCCCCAGGCACATTGATCCTTACCATCCTCTTCTCTTTCATATTTTTGTTTGAAGTTATCATTTGTTTTGATGGTATTTTGGGGGGGGGGGGCAATAATCATCTGACAATGCATGGACTGTAGTAAACATTCGGTTTGCTACCTTCTTTGTTCCAAGCTCTTTTATCAAAGAATTTTATCTTGTTAAGATGCAATCTTTTCATTTCCTTTTAGTTAGAGTGGTTTCTTGAACTCGAGAGTAATAAATTTCATTTGTTAATATACAAGTTAGATAATTCAACTTGACAATTCAGGAGGTTGATACTTAACAAGAATTGGATCATAAAACCAGGTAAGCAATCAGCAGCAAACTATTGATTTAGTTTTCGGACATAAATTGATGAAAATCCATGCTATGATATTGATCCCAGAAAGCAAATCCCAACTTGCATGGGTACAACTCATATTAATGGGGTCCTTTTGATGAGATGAAATATGGGACGCCACTAATGATGCACAATGCCACATCATTTGGGATTTCTTTGCAGTAGAAAGTTTGATATCTATAGCATTACTCTTTCACTTACAGATATGCCTATTGATATAGAACTTTAATTGTATAACTCAAATTATAAGTTAGTTGAAATTTAAATTGAAATTGGACTTTAATAATTTGTCTGTGATTAATCAGAATATTCTTAAATCTAAATTTTAATAAAGTTGTGGCAAATAGATTTTTTTCTAAATTATTTCTATTAAGTTTGTCTATGGAATGAATACTTCTAGTCCTAATAAGTTGTTTGTCAAAAACTCAATGATAAATTATTGAGTTTGTGTTCAAAAAGAAAAAAATTATGGAGCTTGAGTCAAACCAAACATATTAATTTTGAATTAATTATTGTTAAATTTTCTAAAAAGAAAAATAATAGTGAAATAGTTTTAGGTTGCCCCCACCATCATCACATTTAATCAAATTCTATTACATATCAGGGAAAAAATTGATTTACCATAGACTTGAATAAATTACAATTGTGTTTCGTACACTTTATTGTAGTGTCGAAATGGTAATATACATTTTCATCCATTCCAGAATTATTTCGTTCCAATTTTCACATCGTTCTAACTTAAAAATATTACTGCATACCAATCCAATATAACGTTAAAAAGTAGTTCATGCTCTTCGTCTTATATTATTTACGATGAATTTGGGTTCACTTGGTTATTTGTGTATGATAGCGGTATTGTTAGTGTTAAGCATTTTATCCGCTGTTTATCCACGAATTACTAATCGGCTAATGTGTAATTCTTGGTTTTGACTTTTAGGCAAAATGGCAGAAGGTGTAGTGATGGACGCGGTGGTTCAGGTTCTTGTTAGAGATGTGGCTGATGCTGTCTATGTTCATGGCCAGTGTGTTTTTGGATTTCAAACTCAGTTTGAGGCTATGAGAAATGAACTTACTCTCATGCGGGCATTCCTCACTGACACGGAGAAGATCAAACGGAAGTATGAAATTCTTAAGCCAATATTGGTTGATCTGAGAAAATTAGTATATGAAGCTGATGACTTGATGATGGATTGCATAATTCGAACGAAGTACTGGAAGAGCAAAGGGACCTTCTCTTGCTACCATCTATCTCCTCGTGAACTGTTCTTCCGTTATCAAACAGGAAAGAAGTTGACCTACATTAACAAGCGAATTGTGCAAATGAAAGGGACTTTGAGATCCTATCTTCCAGCAGTTGATCGCAGCAGTGAAGGGAGTAGCAGCAAAAGACGGTTTAATTTACCGGTTTTCAACCAATCTGATGTAGTTGGGTTAACAGAAGATGTTAGAACTATCAAAGGGTGGATTCTCCCTCACAAGGAGGAATTACATCGCATTGGTACTGTGGGGATGGGGGGCTTGGGCAAAACTACAATTGCCCAAAAGATCTTCAAGGATAAACAGGTAATTGCTAGCTTTGAGGAGAGGATTTGGGTGACTGTATCTCAAAATGTTGACGAGGATGAAATCGTGAGAAGTATCTTGGATGATTTGAAGGTAAATGATAGATCCGGTAACTTGCTGCACAAAATGTCTGAAGTGCTTACCAGGAAAGCTTACCTAATTTTCATGGATGATGTATGGAAAATTGCTGCCTGGTGGGAAAATATCTCCAGTGGACTTCCAAAGACAAAGGAGCACAGCAGTTGCATCATAATTACATCAAGAAATGAGTATGTCTTGAAAAGAATGGGAGTTGTGGAAGAAAGAGTTCATCGACCCAAGCTTCTAAGTGAAGAAGAGGGTTGGTCATTATTCTGTAAAGTTGCTTTCTTGTCTAGCAAAGCGAATTCTGAGTTAGAAGAAACAGGGAAGAACATTGTGAAAAAGTGTGGCGGCCTTCCGCTAGCTATCAAGACAATTGGAGGTTTGCTATCATCAAAAAGTCAGATTTTAAATGAGTGGAACCGGATTTATGAAAATTTTCATGCAAAACTAGAAGAAGAAAGCAATAGTTCAGAAGCAGAAAGCGACAGAACAACTGTTATGGCTTCTTTGAAGCTAAGCTACGATGAGCTTCCTACTGATCTACAGCATTGTATCCTTTGCTTGTCAATATATGCGGAAGACTATGAAATAAGGGCTGAGCAATTTGTTCGCTGGTGGGTGGGGGAAGGTTTTGTCCGAGACAAAGGCACGGAAACTGCAAGAGATGTAGCTTATTGTTACCTGTCCGAATTGATCAGCACATGCTTGACTGAAGTTGTTCAACGAAGGAATTATGATGGAAGAGTCTATAATTGCAAAATCCATGATATGGTTCGGGATTTGATAATTAAAATTGCCAGGGAAGAGGATTTCAGCAGCTTTGACAAAGGAAATAGGCAGGTACCTACTGTAGATACTCGCCGGTTAGGAGTCACAGGTGAAATGAATCTCCATGCCCTTGAAGGAAACTCAAAGTTAAGGGCATTATTATGTATGCCCAATTGTTTGATTAGCCTAAATAGAGCTGTGGGTTGGCCAAAGTCAAGTCTCTCCGGGTTTTGGACTTCTCACACATTAAGCTGGAAAAAATTTGTTTAGGGGATCTATGGCGTTGGATCACTTCCCAGAAACGCCTAGCTTACTTAAACCTTCGCAATGCAGCAAAATTGGTTGAACTGCCAGACTCAATTGGAAAGCTATGGGGCCTACAGATTTTGATCCTTGGTGAATGCAAGAACCTAGAAAAGGTATCTGTATTAATAGCAAATCTTTCAGAACTAACGGTTTTGGATGTTGGGAATTGTCCATTGCTCCAGTGCCTGCCCCAGGGACTTTCTAGACTTTCCAATCTTCAAGAGCTGTATGGATTCAAAATAGCCAGTTCAACAGACACAAATGGCTGTCACCTTGGTGAGCTTAAGGATCTACCCAACCTTCGGGTGTTGCAGGTAGACATAAAGGAAGAAAGCATAATCAAGGATGAGGAAGTGACAGTGTTAGCACAACTTAATCACCTAAGGGTGTTGTCAATCAATGCTGGGGACTCTGAGGACAAGGACATCCTAAGAAAGCTTGATATGCTTTGCCTTCCAACCTGTCTTGAAGAGCTGTATTTGCGGCATTACTTTGGAGAAAGTACACCACAATGGATGAACCCCACTTCACTCCCTCAACTTCAATATCTGTGTATTGAAGACTCCAGGGTACTCGGCCACATAAACAGTGATTTCTGGGGCAAGGAAGGCAAGACTTGGAAAATAGTAGGGTTGTGCTTGAAGTTTTTGCCAAAACTGCAGGTGGAGTGGTCAATGGTGCGGAGGGGGATGCCTTCACTGAGGTTCGTGGAGGTCAGTCACTGTAACTCGTTGAAGTCATTCCCTTTCAATGTCGAGGGTCTAGGAATTTGGAGGAGAGTGGAGAAAGATAAAGTGGAAGAGGAAAAGGAAGAGATCAAAGAGGAAGAGAAAAAGGAAGAGACCAAGGAGGAAGATAAAAAGGAAGAGATCAAGGAGGAAGAGAAAAAGGAAGAGATCAAAGATGAAGAAATCAAAGTGGAAGACAAGTGCTGAGAAGATACCTGTCGCAAGGAAGAATGCCACAGAGCACGGCAGGAGTGAGAAACTACCATTTCCCTTCCTTATAGTCACACAATGAGTGTATATCTTGAATTGCTTTGAGAACTCTCCAGTTCGATGTATTTGTTATTGCACACATATTGGTTACTGTCTATATTTCTATGTATTGCTAAGCTCTGTATGTTATGATTTATGAACAGTTTGATGCTTTGAAGTGTTAAATGCAAGCTTGATAATGTATTGGAATGCACTAATATACTCACAAAGTTTTGACTAATATGATTTGGATGAATTGTATCTGATTTGACACTTTACAAAGAATCTAAGTCTAAAATGAATCGTTTTAGTTATAAGAATTTAAAATGAATCAAGCAAATTGAGGAAAGTGGTTTCTCTACGATGTCTAAGAAGTCATTTTCTCCTAATTAGGGTACTAAAGTGTGACTAGTTGCACAACGATTTTTTTTCTTTCCTTCTAAAAATAAGCAAGATATATCACTCACTATTCATGAAAAAAATCTAAATTAAATAACTTGAAAATGATCTAAGATATTAATTAACGACTAATGAAATAAGTTAATTTGAATTATATACAATTTAAGATAGTAAATATAACTATCTGAACCATGATATGATCAATTGAAGGGTCACTAGAAATCAACCTGTTAAGCAATAAAATAAAAATAATGAAGCTTAAATATATTTTGAAGTTTTTCAAAATTTTCGAGATTAAGTTCGACCTCATTCCTAACCCTATCCCTACATTATTTCAGGTGAGGGGATAGTATAACCCTGTAACGAAACACTCACGCCCCAATCCCAACTCCCAAACGATGCTCGTTTAGGGAGCACATGCCACTTTGCCAAACGACGTCGTATTGGACTCCAAGGCCCAACTCAGCATTGTCGTCCCTCCCTGTCTCTCTCCTCCCAAATCTGGTCCTTCTCCAGTTGATCAAGATCAACAATGGAGGATCCCAAACCTTCAATCCCCATCTCTCACTAGCCAAAACTAAAAAGAAAAAGAAAACATCTCCAGATATGGAAAGGCACATCCAGATCTTCCTCAACAAACTCTCATACGTGTCCATAGCCACACTGACCCTCGTCTTCGTCCACCTCCAAAGTCTAGAAACCTACTTGGACCCCACATCTTCTTCTACCAACCCCAAACCCCACCACAAATTCCCCAAATCTTCCTGTGAAATTTCCCACCGATCCTTCACTTCCCTAAAAAAAAGCAACAACAGGTTATGGCCCACCAAAACTTGGTCCAACACCGTCCCCTCAGACTCTTCCAGTCTGTGTTGCGGACGTCAATGCCGTAGAGTTGATCGACTCTACTTCGCTGGTGAGCAATGATTACCCTCATAATTTTACCGTTCTACGATAATGTCAATAATTTGTTTTGAAACTTAGTTTTGACTCAAGTCCTCCTTGTGTTTTTGTGCATTCTTTTGTAATTGTGGATAGCTTGGTTTGCAATGTTTTCTTGGATCGATTAAATTTCTTTTTATTATTTTTTTAAGATGGAGTTCACTCGTTTTAATCATGTTCAACATGAAGACGAATAATATGATCAATGAAGCCTCCCAGTGTCACACTCATGAGAGTTTTAAGGCTATATTAGAGTATCTCAAACCCACTATCTATATTTTCTTTTTTAGTTATTTTAACTAGTCAAACAATAAAAACATTCTCCAACTTGTTCAATATTTTTCATTTCACCCAAGTGACTCTCCAAATGTGGAGAGCCATTTAGCCTCCTCAAATTCTCTCTTTGTCTCTTTTTCTCTTTATCTCTCTCCGTATGTTTGTTGCAATTACATTTAAATTATTAAAAGTTAGTGAAAGTTGGATAAAATAATTAGTTAAAATAGAGAATGCGGTTAAAATAAACTTATAAAAGTAATTAGTTAAAATAAAAAATGCAATAAATCTATTTTCACTAGCCATTTTGAGGGGCTGGGTTGGAAATTGGAATTGCTCTTAACAGAGTAACTCCAAGGATGCTAGTTAAAACAGTTAGTCAAAATATATATTTTTTATTATACTATCTATTTTAAATAGCAACTTCTACTAATTCACTCCAACAACGCTATCTATTTTTCAGGGTCATCCCAACTATATTAAAAAAAAAGCGTGGGTTTAAGACCCTAAATTTTTAGAAGGTCCATAATTTTAGATACATAGCTAATCCACAAGAAAAATTTTAATTCATGAAAAATCTTATGCCTTTCAAAAAAAGCCTCAAAAATTTAAACTTAATCAAAAAATTATAATTTCAATAATTTGAACCTATAATGCAATCCATAACATTAAAAACTCAAAAATCAAAAATTTTAAAAAAAAAAAAAAAAAATTCAAAAATCAACTAATATTTACTCATTCTCTCTCTCTCTCTCTCTCTCTCTTAAAAAACAAAAACAAAGTATCACATCTTTCTCTCTCACTTAAAAAAAATTAAAAATATTTTTTGGTTTTTTAAAAATAATACTAAAAATAAAAAAAATTCATTCAGTATCACCGCTTTAAGCCTCAAATTACCTTGAACCGCTCTTGTCTATTTTAACTAACTATTTCAACTAATCATTAATAATTAAAATCTAAAATACTACGTAGCATGCCACGTCATCGTTATATTGATGACATCACATGATGACGTGTTATGCCATTATTAAAATTCGTGGTTCTATAAGTAATGTCTATAATTTAACATGGTCACCATGTTAAAATTAAGAAACTTTCTAGATTCGTGATGTCAAGATTTATTAACAAAAAATTCGTGATGCCTGTCTATCCTACTTTAAAATATCAACATACATGAAAAATATTTTTTTTTTCATTTTTACCCTCCAAGACTACAACTATACCATGATTATCCTTTTATCTATATCTATATCTACCTACCCTCACTAATTACTTATCGTCGGTTAAATATCCTTAATAATTATAATTGTTAGTCAAATTAGTGAATTTGTCTTCGGTTTACAATTTGAAGTGTCCAACATGAGCATTCTGCTTTCATTCGTCTCCTCCCAAAAAAAAAAAAGGCCCACTGCAAATAAATTCATTTCTCTCTCTTCTTTTTCCTCACTCACAATTCACAAATCTTTGATGTCCTTGTCTCTAAATAAACTATTTTCTGTCTTCTTTTCATCTCTCAGAAACCCTCTCTCTCTCTCTCTCTCTCTCTCTCTCTCTCTCTCTCTCTCCCCGCCGTTCTCAGCATGGGTTACTCCACGCATTCAAGTACCTCTCTACGGTATCTCAATGTCTGCTGCCCTTGCACCACGTGGCTGTGCGCATTCTGGGTCTTAATGTATGAAGTTGCAATGCCCTATATTAGTAATTGATTTGAACCCACAATTTTGACACTCGAAATTAGAATTTGAATCAGTATAGGCTTTTTCACACGCTGCATTGCAAGTAGACACCCCCTCGCTGAACTAGCCGTTTATTTCCTAGTATAGTTCTTCCACTAATATCTCTTATAAGGTTTTTTTTTCCTTGAAACTATATCCAAAAATTTAACTTCAACATCATAATGGACACAAACAAAATTGATCTTTCACACAGAAAATCAGTCACAAGCTATTTTTTTAATGCTGTTGAGCAGCCCTTGCGCCACCACCTTCACTACCACTTCAATGACCACCTCCACCCTAACTATGATCAATCGCTACTGCACCACGAGGGTCGGTGGTGGCAACATCAATGGTGCTAGCAACAATGGTGGGGTGGTGGTGGTGAGGTAGTGGTAATGGTGATGGTGAGGATGAGGTAATTGTATGGTAGTGTTATGTTGAAGTGGTGGTGGTGATGGTAGTAAAATGGTGCTAATGGTGTGGTTGCATCGATAGCGGTAGTGGTGGTTGCGGTAGTGGAGTCGAGGAAATGGAGGCGGGAGGTGCTAGTGATTAGAAAATTCTTTTTTGAGCCTGACACAAATTGATTAGAAAACGTGGAGCAAACTTTCTCTTAAAAGATGTGTAATAATGTGACACAATTATCACCAATATATATATATATATATATATATATATATATATATTTCATTTTTTTGGGTCCATTGGTGAATTTTCAAAGACCAAAATAGGTGTCAAGATGAATCAAGGGTCTTAGTGGGGGGAAGTAATTGTCACACTTAATAAAGGTAATGCGCATTTGCTTAAAGTGAAGATAAAAAAGGAGTCTACCCCTCACTTTACATAAAGTGAATGAGAAAAAAGAGCCCACTCTGCTTTCTTTAAAGCTGATGAATCCATGTCATATCTCCCATGATTTAATGGGCATGTGAGCCATTTATGCCCTCCACCCCGAAACTTTGATAGTTACGGTGAGTTTTCTGAAGTTACCAGTTGTGTTGATGGTTTATTTCGGGTTAAGACTGTGGTAAACATACGGGTACGCTCTCTTCTTTCTTCCAAACTCTTTTTTGGAAAGAATTTTAATCTTTTTGAGACTTTGTTTTTTCATCTCCGTGTACATGTTATACATGTTTCTTGAAGTGGAAACTAACAATACACTTGTTAATATATATAGGACAGAGAGTTCCACGTTGGGAGTTCAGGAGCTGGATACTTGAGAGGAATTCACCCAGGCAAGCAGTCAGCATAGGTTAGACCCAAAGACTCAATTACTGCACACACACACACTCTCGACATTCTGAATCCCAAAACATGCAATGAAAGAGGGAGAGGACTAAAAGGGTGGTTGACCAGCACGTTAACATGACACAAAATGAAGTAGTGGCTTAAGCTTGACAAATTCTTGACACTAATTCAAAAATGAGCTGACCCTCTAGCCCCAATAATAAAAGTGTTACTGCAAAATCAAATAGTCCAATTCTTATTCGAAGAAATTCATTTAATAGATACCGTGTGTAGAAAATGTAGTTTTGAATTTTTTTTTTCTATTTCTTTGTAATGTATTTTATAGATCCTTGTAGGATCTGATGACTTTTTAACTTGATTTTACTAGGATATGGATTGAGTGTATTTTTAGTTGATCAATTACATGTAAGTGTTGAGTCTAGTCGATGGAGAAAGGGGTTATTAGTTTATCGGTTGTGCAGGTGCACCCATGCAGGGGCGGCCCAAGGTGCAATGTGGCCCTAGGCCGAAGTGAAAGCATCGAAGTTCTATTTGCTTACAATACATAGAGCTAACCATCGACTCATTTTCGTTAGGAAGTTGGAAGAAAAAGAAACTGGACTTGTTTGGTTGTATTTTTGAAAATAGTTTTCTGTTATGAGAAACAACAAAAATTTTTTTAAAAAAAAATTGTTTGATTAGTTGTTTTCATTCTCAATTTTTAGAAAATATAACCTCGATAGGAGTCATTTTTTAGAACCATCTAAATGATGTTATCTATTTTCAAGCTAAAAAAGAAAACATGAGAAACACACTAACGTCTTTAATGAGGTCTTGACATCAAACTTTGTCGAAGGCAGTTTCACCAAAAAAACTTCAATAGATGCCATCTCTCACTCCAGCAGATCTATATATATGTGCGTGTGTGTGCGATGTGAGTGTGTGGTGGAGATTGAGAGAGAGAGAAAAAGAGGTAAGCTGAAAATTGGGGTGGGGGGTTTGTGGATCATTTGTTTTACTATTTTCTACTTTTTAAAACTATTTAAAAAAAATATAATCAAACATGTTTTGTAATATAAAAAGAGTAATGTTATTTAAACTTAAAAATTTGACATAATTTACTGACTTAATGATGTAGTTTCATTGGAACCATTAGATTAACATTAAGTCTCAATAATTGATGGGGTCACAGTTAATTCAAAGGTCATATTAAATTAGGTCAATAAATTAAGTTTTAATAGCATTGTTCATATAAAAATATCACAACACACTTTCTTTAAACTCTTTTTAAAAAATATTTTTAAATACTATTTTTTAAAATGCAATTCAACCACGCCCTTAAACTTAATGTCCTCCGAACATTAACACTTCTTAGTATAACACAAGATTCTGTTGTTACATTGAGGATTCCACTTGAAATATCTTCCATCATTGGTTGAGATTAGGGATAGAGGTGGATGGAAGTGGGGGTGGGGAGTTTAGTCTCCATCCCCGTATCCGTTTAAAAAAATTTCGTTCATTCCCGGTTCACCCCTGTTAACGAGAATATTTTTCATTCTTACCCCAGTCCGCGGGTAAATTTGTAATCCCTGCTCCCGCCCTGTCCCCCACATTCACCCCTCTCTCCCACCACAGCCCTTGGCCCCCGCCCCTGTCCACCTTACCCGCCCCAGCCCAAACCAAGCTCAAACTAACATAATTTAGAATTCTAAATAAATCTAACATTTTAAATAATTCAACATAATTATAAAATATCATAACATAATTAAAAGTTTGTCAGTTACAACATAATCCAATATAATATAATTAAAACTTTGTCCCCTATGTAAATCTAACACAATATAATGCAACACAACATAATGTAATATAACAAAATTCAAACATAATTTTTTATTAAGATAAAATCATATTTTTTAACGGTTATATTAACAGATATCAATGATAAAGGATTATATGTTACACGTGCACAAACGTCATGAGATGAAGGAGTAATATTCTAAATGTGAAGGGGTCCAAATGATTGAGTGGCAAGCACGAGGGGATTTAGGTATAATTTATCAATTTAGTTTTAGGTGCACATTGATACAAATTTCTATCTTTGAGAGTGCAAATTGAGATTTTTAATCTTTGGAGGTGCAATTCTTACTATCTTTCGGGGTGCAACTTACAATTAACCCTAAAGAAATAGACTTCACACAAATTAATAACTATCCCTCATCCCCGTAAGTTAATAATTTTCTACTCTCCTTCCATGTAATTCAATAATTATTCAAGTAGGGTTCCTCATGCTTATTTGATATTTTATTATTAGTTAGTGATATTATACGATAATACTAAAATAACATCATTGTTGCATTATATATTTATTCATTTCGGAGTTACTTGCGGGCGTTTTGTGGCTATGTCACAACTATGGTTCTGGCGGTTGACCTGGAGTAAATATTCAACGTACGTTACACCATGTCATCCGATCAATAATAAATAAACAAATTTAGAAAACTTCAGTAATCACACATGATATGTGCAAATTATTGGTAGTAATAGAATTTAGTAGCATCTACTAATTTTTCATGTGTTATGCATAATTGGTTGGTGACAGATACATTCAATATTGTCTTTCGTTGACTTGATGATCTTCAACAGGAGCAGGTATATAATCTAATAATTGTGCTTCCTCTCAGTCAATGTACCAAATGATAAGCAAAATTTTTTGTTTCCATTATTTGTGTATTATTTTTTTCCATATATTCCATATTATTGTCTTGCCCAACATGATAAGCCTAACAATTATTTCAAATCAATTAGATGAAAATCCATCACAAATTAATTCTCTTATCAATGTGTACTCGACAACACGCATCTAGGTCTAAATTAAGATAGCATATGATATTTTGAATCCATGAGAAAATGGATCAGATGATGGAATAATTAGAATTATCTGCTGATGGATGAATAACACTAAACAAATTTACTAATCGGGATGGGAATTCGGGATCAGAATACGTCTCTGAATCCTTTGCTAAAGTATATTCATCCATAAGCATCCCGGTGCCACAGTAACAAGACTTTCATTTCTTGTAACTGTTGGTACTGGTTATACGCCCTCCCAACCCATTTAAGGCTGTTAATTGGGGCATCAAGATTGTACCCTGATTGTTTTTAGTGATTAGGAAGCTAAATACCACTAGGAATGAACTAATATATCTTTTTGGAGCTTGACACAAACTGATTGAAAAACATGGAGCAATAAGATATTTTTGTGTCCATTTTTGTTCCATTGGTGATTTTTCAAAGCCAAAAAGTAGGTTTCAAGATGAATAAGGGGGCCTTGGTGGGGGACCAAAAGCATTTGCCTTTAGTGAGATGGGCTGGACGAGCATCTCATAGCATGCTTTGGAGGACCTTATTCCATTCAATTAATGGCACCAAATAAGTTGCAGGACTTGCATTAGTATCTGTTCATTCATCCAATGGCTATAATTGCTTAAATATTGAGCTTAAGTCAACCCAAAACACATCTCCGGTGATCAGACGGTCGAAGGATAAAAAAAAGGTCTTCCCCCTTAATAAACTAGTGAGAGGAAGTAGTGTGCACACTTAATAAAACTAGTGCGCATTTACATAAAGTGAAGAATAAAAAGGAGTCTACCCTGCTTTCTTTGAAGTTGATGAATCCTTTTCATATCTCCAATAATCTAATGGGCATGTGAGCCAATTTGAAGCATGCATTCACTTCCCCCAGGCACATTGATCCTTACCATCCTCTTCTCTTTCATATTTTTGTTTGAAGTTATCATTTGTTTTGATGGTATTTTGGGGGGGCAATAATCATCTGACAATGCATGGACTGTAGTAAACATTCGGTTTGCTACCTTCTTTGTTCCAAACTCTTTTATCAAAGAATTTTATCTTGTCAAGATGCAATCTTTTCATTTCCTTTTAGTTACAGTGGTTTATTGAACTCGAGAGTAATAAATTTCAACTATTAATATATTTCATTTGTTATTATACAGGGTAGATAATTCACTTTGACAATTCAGGAGATAGATACTTAAGACGAATTGGATCATAAAACTAGGTAAACAGTCAACAACAAACTATTAATTTAGTTTTCTGACATAAATTGATGAAAATCCATGCTATGAAATTGATCCCAGAAAGCAAATCCCAACTTACATGGGTACAACTCATATTAATAGGGCCCTTTTGATGAGATGAAATATGGGACGCCACTAATGAGTACAGCTTGGATTACCCTACAAACCTGTGTGGATCCCACCAGTTCTTCTACCAACCCCAAACCCCACCACAAATTCCCGAAATTTTCCTGTGAAATCTCCCACCGATACTTCAATTCCCTAGAAAAACGCAACTGGTGGTTATGGCCCACTAAAACCTGGTCCAACACCGTCCCTTCAGACTCTTCCAGCTCTGTGTTGCTGACGTCAATGCCGTAGAATTGATCGACTCTGCTCCGCTGGTGAGCTTTGATTACCCTCATAATTTTACCGTTCTTCGATAATGTCTTTGATTTGTTTTGAAACTTAGTTTTGAGTCAAGTCGTCCTTGTGTTTTTGTGCATTGTTTTGTAATTGTTGATAGCTTGGTTTGCAATGATTTCTTGGATGGATGAAATTTCTTCTTATTATTTTTTAAAGATGGTGTTCACTCTTTTTAATCAACATGACGAATAAGATGATCAATGAATTAGACTTATCAAATGGTGTATGAATCGAACTTTGTGAATATAACAATCAGTAATATCAGAATACCTCTCTGAACCTCTGTCTAGAACATTGATCCATAAGCCTCCCAGTGTCACACTTATGAGAGTTTTAAGGCTGTTAATGGGGGCTTCAGGACTGTACCCTGATTGCTCTTAGGGGGTTGTTTCCCGATCACCCGGTGGATTGGACTGTTTTGAATTTACATTTAAAATTTATTCAGTAAAATCTTACAAAGCCAGCTAAAATGTTGAATTAAAAAATTTAGATTTATCCGATCCTTGATTTAAATTGTTATTTATGATACTGTGGGCCTCACAGACAAACCTTTTTTTTTGGGGGGGGGGTTAAATGTATATTAATTTACCATCTTATACTTGAATCTTATCCAAACATATCTCATATTTGGCTCGACAATTCTTAGTTACTACCTTAATATTGAATTAAAAATTTATCACTAGCTGGCTAATATAATTTATTTTTTTTTGGCGTTCTACTTTAAACGAATTTAAAAAAAGTGACTACAAATATATTTGATCCTTTCAAAATATTATACTGAAATTAATTGACAAAAGATATTGAAAAATAAGTGCAATAGCCAAAATTACACAAGAGAAAATTTACAACCTAATATGAAGGCATTTTATAGTTAAAAATATTATGCTATTACAAAAACCGAAGAATTAATTGATTCTCAAAAGTATATTAAACAATCAATTTCAGTATAATTTTTGGTGACTTTGCCAAAATCGAAAAATCTCAAAACCTAACAAATTAACAACAAAGTACACAACACAAATGACCCATAATTTTGCCCAATATCCAACACGTGTGTATTCTTGGCCGAATCGTTGTGCGATGGTGGGTTGGAAAGTTCTAGCAATGTAGAAATTGAAACACAGAAAAGTGTGAGAGGGAGACGAAGAACTAGAGACGGACACGAAGAACCAGAGATGCAAAGGGGGAGAGAGAGAGTCATCGGTCATGAGGTTTCTGATAGACACACTCGATCTCGTTGTTATCAGAAGGTACTCCACCATTTGGGTTTGAATGAAGATCTGAAGAATAAGTGACAGAGCCGCAGACGATTTGCTATGATTAGTGGAGGTATCTCCGGTTGGTTGAGTTCAATGGCTGCGAAGGTGGGTTTGTTGGGTGTTTGTGTTGTGAGAGCGATGGCTTGATAGGGTTTCGGGTGAGAGAAATAGGGTGTAGAGAGATAGAGAGAGAAGATGGAGGGAGAGATAGAGAGACAAAAAGTAAAAATATTTACCTTAACTTTAATAAAAACAGTAACAAAAATCCCTTCACCGGAAAACCTCCATCGCCGATAAATTACACACATTGAGAGATAGAGAGAGAGAGAACACTACTGTTTTGGTTTGTGAAAAAAAATTAAACTGAAAAAAAGGTCCCATGGCCGGAAAGAGTGAGAAATTAGGGGAATTTATTACCGATCTACCCCATTTATCAAACTTATTTATTAATCTATTATCGTTTTCAACTTATTTATCAATCTACTGTTGTTTTAAAAACAAATTTGACAAATCCGACTTCATGGAGAAAGCGGATTTGAAAAATTTGACTTCACTTGAAAAGCGAATTTGACAAATCTGATTTTATTGAGAAAGTGAACATACCAAATTTGATTTTATTTAGAAAGCAGACATATCAAATCCGTTTTTTAATATTTCATCTAATTTTCTTACTGGGATACCACCCGAAATTCTTGACTTTATATATTTTCCCCCTAAAAAATAAATCACTTATTTTTATCATATATTTAATTATTTAATATTTGATTAATTTGTAATTAATATATTTTGAAAAAAATTTAATATAGTGAGATCGATTTTTTGGATGCTCGAATTTTATATTTTATCGTGCCTTCATGCACGGGTTATAACTAATAAATTTAGATAAAATCTATTAATGGATTTTTAACGACTAATAAATGTGAGTAATTTATTCACAAAGAATATAGAATCAGAGAGACCAAACATATTCAATAAATAGTCAAATACTCTTTTGGCGATCAACACAATTATACATATAAAGGCTTACACCTTGGTAAGTTTGCTTTCCATATAAAGACGGATTTGATATATCCGCTTTCTGTATATAGACGGATTTGATATGTCTGCTTTTCTTATAAAGTCGGATTTACCAAATTCGCTTTTCAATTGAAGTCGGATTTGTCAAATCCGCTTTCCAAATAAAGTCTGATTTGTCAAATCTGCTTTCCAAATGAAGTCAGATTTGTCAAATTCGTTTTTCCCATGAAGTCGGATTTGCCAAATCCGCTTTTAAAACAGCGGTAGTTTGGTAAATAAGTTGAAAACGGCAGTAGATCGGTAAATAAGTTTGATAAATGGGGTATATTGGTAATAGATTCAAAATTAGGGGGGTGGAAGAGAGAGAGATAGGGAAATGGGGGGGGGGGAGAGAGAGAGAGAGAGAGACAGAGAAGCATACCTGGTGCGCTGTTTGTGGAGATGAGAGAGGGGCCAGTGGGGTGAAATGGGTAAAAAACTAGTAAATTTGTTGTATGAGGGTGTTTCGGTAAATTACAACCACAATCCAATTGACAGAATTTGAATCCCACATAAACTTTGGGGTTAAAAACTAGTTGGCCGAGTTTTTCATTTGCAAAGATTATCCCATCTGAAATGCTTCATCCAAATTAAGAATATGTGGCCCTTGGACAAAATAAATCCAATCCACTTGTGTTATCTACTTTTTATCGGTCAAACCAAATACCCACTTAGTGCGTATGAAGATAAATACACTAGGCATAAACTAATGTATCTTTTATGAGCCTGACACAAATGGATTAAAGTATGTCGAGCAAACTTTCTCTTAAAAGATGTGTAGTAACTTGACAAAAGTGTCACCAATATATATTTTTTCAGTTTTTCTGGTCCACTGGTGAATTTCAAAGTCGAAAAGTAGGTGCCTAAGATGAATCAAGGGGTCTTAGTGGGAGATCAAAAGCATTTGCCTTTAGTGAGATGGACAGGAAGAGCATCCCAGTGCATATTTGAAGACCTATTCCATTCAATTAAAGACACCAAAA